CATAAGATCTCAGTAGGGATGTGCAAAGGCCCTGCGGCAGGAGCAGCTCAGTGTCAGGACCAGCCAGGAGGCCTTCTGTGGCAGAAGAGCAGGAGAGGAGGCTCAGGGTGGAGAATGTATAGGTGAACACGACCTGGGCTGCCCAGGGCCAAGGTGATGGTTTCAGATTTTGTTCCAACTGACTGGGAAGGAGGTGGAACTACTCTCTGAGACACCTATCATAGTGTCCATGTGAGGGAGGGAGGTAACAGGAATCCACTCACGTTGCTCAACCCTTCTGTGCCAGGCTCTGTCCTCAGCCACACGCTTACTAGGACACACATCTTAACACATTCTGGAGAACATAGGTGAGTTTGAATCTGGACTCTGCCTCTTACCAGCAGGGGCAATCATAAAATGGCCACTCATACTCAAAACCCAGCCTCATCTATTACCCAGGTGATAAAAATCTAAAATATCAAGCTGTTACAAGGGTTTCAGGGATAAGCACATAAAAAGGGTACAATAAATAGTAACATTAGTATTTGGTATTTTGCATAATTTTTGAAAACATGCAAAATGAAATCATGTCTTGTTAAAGTAACATGCAAGGGGACTTCGAAAAGTTCATGGAAAAATGAAATTAAAAAATATAAACTGGCCGGGCGCGGTGGCTCACGCCTGTAATCCTAGCTCTCTGGGAGGCCGAGGCGGGCAGATTGTTTGAGCTCAGGAGTTCGAAACCAGCCTGAGCAAGAGCGAGACCCTGTCTCTACTAAAAATAGAAATAAATTAATTGGACAACTAAAAATATATAGAAAAAATTAGCCGGGCATGGTTGCGCGTGCCTGTAGTCCCAGCTACTCGGGAGGCTGAGGCAGGAGGATCGCTTGAGCCCAGGAGTTTGAGGTTGCTGTGAGCTAGGATGATGCCACGGCACTCTAGCCCGGGCAACACAGTGAGACTGTGTCTCAAAAAAAAAAGAAAAAATATTTTTTAAGATTAGGAAACAAAAGGAGGTCAGAGCCAAGTAGGCGGACATCTCTCTGCCGAAGCTTTCCTGGACATTTTTCTGCTAAAGCTTTGACTAACTTTCTCAAAACACTCTCATCATAAGCAGATGTTATCATTCTTTGGCCTTCTAGAAAGTCAACAAGCAAAATGCCTTGAGCATCCAAAAAACTGTTGCCATGACATTTGCTCTAGACCAGTCCTCTTTTGCATTGTCTGGACCACTCCCACCTCTTGGTAGCCATCGCTTTGATTGTGCCTTGTTTTCAGGATGGTACTGTTAAAGCCATGTTTCAACTCCTGTTACAATTCTTTAAAGAAATGCTTCAGGATCCCTATCCCATTTGTTTAAAAGTTCCATTGAAACCTCCGCTCTTGTCTGCAGCTGATCTGGGCACAACAGTTTTGGCACCCATCAAGTGGAAAGTTTGCTTATGTGCTTTTTCAGTCACATAGACCTAAAAAGTGAAATATCCAAAGCAAATACAGCTGTAGAGGCTCAGAGAACAATACCTCAAAATGAGGGCTTCAGAAGCAGGTCCCTCTGATCTCCTACCCTCCTGCCTCTGGCCCTTCATTCTCTTCCTGAGGCTAGCCACAGAAACTAGAACCCCTCTTCTCCAAGGCAGGACATAGAAACCAGAATTCTTGTTCCCCAAAGTCAGCCAAAAGAGCTAAAAATGTTATTCTAACTCCCCACGTTCCCCATCCCCCACTTTTCTATGTAAAAACTGGCCATAAAGAAATCATCTAGGCTGGGTGTGGTGACTCATGCCTGTAATCCTAGCACTCTGGGAGGCTGAGGCAGGGGATCGCTTGAGGTCAGGAGTTCCAGAGCCTGTCTCTACTAAAATTAGAAAAATTAGCCGGGTATGGCAGTTCATGCCTGTAGTCCCAGCTACTCAGGAGGCTGAGGCAGGAGGATCGCTTGAGCCCAGGGATTTGAATTTGCTGTGAGCTAGGATGATGCCATGGCACTCTAGCCTAGACAACAGAGCAAGTCTCTGTCTCAAAAAAAAAAAAAAAATCACCTGACCCACCTTGTCTGATTGTGGGTCATAAAACCCATTATAGAGAGAGTCCTGCCCCATTCCCAGGAGGAATACTGCACAGAGCCAAGAATCTAGACAGGTCGTGCTGGGCTTGCCCACTCAGTCCGTTAACATTAGATCATACATTTTGTGTCCGATCATACTTCTACGTGGCTGTCCATATTTTGTTGAAGCTAAGTATAAAAATGGACAGTTTCTGCTTTATCTTTGGGTCATTCTGAGGGCTCCAGTGTCATCTAAAACTATGATCATATAAACGTGTGTGGCTTTTCTTCTATTAATCTGCTTTTTGTCATTGATTTTTAGCAAACCATCAGAGGGCATGCTTTCCCTTCCCCTGTTCAGATTTGATAGGATTAGTGGTGGATTCCTGAGCATTTATTGTATTATGCCTCATATGCTGATTCTCCTGCCTGGCCTTTACCCACCCCCCAGCCCCACTTCTGTACTCATCTGTTTAGCATCTATCTCCTCTGGTCCCCCAGAATTTCAGCTCTCTGAGGGCAGGGATCAGAGTCTGTTTTGCCCACAGCTGAGTCTTTAGATCATAAACAGTGCTGGTACTCAGGAGGTGCACGTATGTTGCAGGAATATTTTTCCGTACCACTGAATTATTTAATTGAAATGACTGAGGGCAGGACCAGCAGAGTTCACGGCCTCAGCTAACTGCCAACTTAGCTGGGTGTCATAGCAGCCTTGTGGTTACATAGGAAACTGTCCACGTTTCCAAAAGTGGGCTGCCCGTGAAGATGTGGAGTGTGTGATAGGATGGCTGGGATTTGCTTTGAGGTATTTCCACAAAAACATATGTTACAGTCTGGATGTTTGTTCCCCCCGCCTCAAAATCCCTATGTTAAAACCTAATCTCCAATTTGATGGTATTAAGAGGCGGGGCCTTTGGGATTAGGCCATGTGGGAGGAGCTCTCATGAATGGGATGGGTGCCCTTCTAGGAGGCCTGAGGGAAGCGTGTTTGCCCCTTTGCCCTTCTGCCACGTGAGGACACGCAGAAGGCGCCATCTATGAGGAATGAGGCCTCACCAGACACCTACACTGCTGGTGCCTCGATCTGGACGTCCAGATCTCTGAGTGATAAATTCGTTTTTTATAAATTACCCAGTCTAAGGAAGACTTTGTTACAGCAGCCAGAACAGACTAATTCAACATGTGAGGCCGGGCATGGTGGCGTGCGCCTGTGGTCCCAGCTGCTCAGGAGGCTGAGGCTGGAGGATCACTTGAGCTCCAGAGTTTGAGGCTGCAGTGAGCTGTGATGACAGCACTGCACTCCAGCCTGGGCGACACGGCAAGACCCTGTCTCCAAGAAAAAGAAAAAAAGAGCAGCTTCCCGCCCCCCCACCCCCCGCAACACACACACACATCCC